AGTATATCTTATATACTTGACAAGTACTACTGAATAAAAGGGCTACTTTCCAAAAGTTGGCATTAAGGCTCAAATCTCAAAAGAAAGAATGGAGGGCGCCTGGGTAGCTCAGTCGCTAAGCATCTGCCTTCGGCTCAAGTCATGATCCCAGGGTCCTGGGACTGAGCCCCGCATAGGGCTCCCTGCTCTGCAGGAAGCCTGCTTCTTCCTCTCCCACTTCTCCTGCTTGTGTTCCCTCTCTTGCTGTGTCTCTCTCTGTCAAATAAATAAATAAAATCTTAAAAAAAAAAAAAGAAAGAAAGAAAGAAAGGAACTAAGGGAAGAAGGGCATTCCAGAAAGATGTGATGAAAACCTGGGATGCAAGCATGCATGTCCAAGGCAATCCTCAGGAAATGGTGAATGGATCAGATGACTGGAGGAGAAAGAAAGGAAAATGAAGACGAAGGACAAAGAAAGGAAAACCTACCACAAAGGCAGGTTTGGCCACATGACCGACCAGGATCTTGAGCGCTGATCCACCTGGGAAGTCCTAAGGAGCCATCCAGTGTTCTCAGAGACAGTGATTAGACTGATGGTGGGAGATAAACAGAAACTAAAACCCCCCTAGTAGAGAGATGTTAAGATACTGTCCTGTGACGCTACTTAAATTCTGATAGAGATCAGGGATTTTATTAGCATATGAGCATGAGGAAGTACAAAAGATCAGCATTAAGAAATACAGTGTGTTAGTTTAATCCCAAACAAAAAAACAGGAATAGAAACATCAATAGACTGCTATCTGGAGTTCAAGAAGAATCCTGAACCTACCTCTTAAAAGATTTAGTTGAAAATATTGGTATTTCTCTTCATACAAAATGCCCAATAAGCCCCTGTTCTGTTTTATTTTGTTTTCTTATCCCCTTCCTTTTGTAACGATCCATTTTGTAGGTATTTATCTGATGTCTCCTGCCACGGCACCATGACAGCAAAGCCATATCATTTTCTATTTCAAGCAAAGGAAGAAAAACACATGAAGGTAAACAGCAGAAATTGTTTGACCAAATTGTTCTGTGCTCTCCCTCTAGCCCACTTAAAAGAACAAAGATTTAAAACATACAGAATAATGCTCCAAAATAATTTGCTCATTGCTTCCAAGTAACACTCCTAATTAGTGAGCCTTAAATTAATAGCCTTAAGGAAAGTGGATGCTATTAAAGAGAAAGTAACTACAATGATTTAATGGCACTATATGGGCATAAATACCACGTGGAAATTTAGAAGGTATTTGAGATCCCCTAAGAATTTTGAAGTCCCATGTTATATACCATGTAAGTATTAAGACAGCCATTTTTCAGGGGAATATGGCCTGATCTATATTAAAGGCAATTTTCTTAGCAACCTGAGCACTTTAGATGAGAAGCTAGGCCTACTTACATTTTACTCTGTGAGTTAAAGAAAAGTGAACTTTATCAATTAAGTCTGAATTAACATAAAGTCATATCTAGAAATAACCTCTAAAAAACACATACGTGGTTAGGACATTAGCATATCTGAATATCCTTTTAAGTATTCTGAAATATGAATATCAACATGCAAAAGAAAGCATCATTTCAGCAGTTTTCACTCTCAGTCAACAAAAGAACAGTCACAGATGACTGGGTAACACAGAATCCTCTCTATCTATATTTTTATGTAATTGTAGAAGCATATACAGGTGTAGGAATAATCTCAGCGGCGTGATCCATTCACATAAAGATCCCTGAACAGGAAACCAACTTAACAAATTTGCTCATATTCAGAAGGAGAAGAAAGGGTTGCTTCAACAGACAAAGGATAATTTGAATTTTGAATTTTGCTCAAGGGCAAAGATACATACAAGTGTGCAGGTACTTCTGCATGTGTGGGGGTGTGTATGTGTGTTACTGAGGTATAATACAGACTAAAGACCACAAATCTCAAATTTATAGTTCAGTGATTTTTAACGTGTGTGTGTATATATATATATGAAGCCATCATGATAGAGAATATTATCAGCACTCCAGAAAATTCTCCTGTGTTCTCTCCCAGGTCAAATAATATCTGACTTCTATCACTGTAGTTTCACCTTTTCTTGACCATCATATAAAAAGGAATCATACAACATGTACACATTTGTGCCTGGCTTCTTTGGCTGAACGTTAAATCTGTGAAATTCACCTATGTTACTACGTGGATAGACAGTCTGTTCTTAATTGCTCACAATATACCACAATTTACTTATCCATTCTACGAATGATAATATTTGGGTTGTTTCTAGTTTGGAGCTATTATGAATTAAGCTACTATAACACTCTTCTATGTATGTTTTGTGTGTGTGTGTGTGTACATAAGCACTGCACTCACTTGTCTTGAATATATACCTACAAGTGGAACTGCAGGCCACACAGTATTTCTCCTCGAAATATTAATGGGAAAACAAGGATCTTTCTTCAACATGCAGAATGATTTGTTTGGTTATTTCTTTTACCTCATATGTATTTAAAGTCAAGTCAGACAGCCTCTAGCGCAATGATTCCAACCCAGCTCAAATAGCAGAATCCCTTGGGAAACTTTGTTAGAAATTCCTCCATGCCCCCACTCCCTGCCAAACAAAACTACCACAATCAAAACTATAAATGCAGTGAATGGGGTGAAGAGATACTGCTTGAGGAAATAAACACTGTGCAAACGTAAGATATTATCATCTAATTTTAATTTGTTTAAATTATTCCCACTCAGAAGTGAAAACTAAAGTCAGGAGTATTTATTCATTAATTTTTAAAAATATTTGTTCACTCTCGCTGCATTTCTAATGAAGAATAAAGTTTTGGAATAAAATGGCAACCATTCCATTCAAAGAAAAGCAGCAAATTCAAGTCATAATAGTATTTTTAGAATTGAAAGAATCCTTTTTAAAATGGAGTGATACAGAGCCCCACAAAGCAATCACATCATCAGAAACAGGAAAATAAAATAATAGAGGAAAAAACTCGGAGATGAGAAGCTGCAGACTAAGGCTCCTTTCAAAAGAGGACAGTATGAAACTTGTCACCTGAAAGTCATATGCCTAATATGGAAATGTTCATGAAGAAGCCAGGGTCTCCTGAAAAACTTTTTCCATAGAAGACTATCAAATTCTTTGAGAAAGTAAACAAAATACCATCAAATCATCTTCCTCTCCTGCCAGAAAAAAAAGAAAAAAGGTAATGGGGAAGGCAAGCCTCTAGAGAACTTCATTTTCGAAGATGTCACATGGGCAGACTGGGGGGAAAAAAAAAAGTGTGGGCAAATTTAGGGGGGATGATACCATAAATTATCTGAAAGATGATATGGGATATATTTGATATAAAATTGACATCAGAGAGGATATAAGTGAAGGCTTATACTGTGCAGACACAAAGACTGAATGAATAAATGAGTGAATAAACTCCTACAGCATTTTTCTTGGTTTCTCTTTTGGCAATGGACCCAGCAGGTAGGCCCATGAACCTCAGCAATGAAGCACTGCAATTTCTATACAATATTTAAAAGACTTCTTTAGAAAGCAGAGTGTCACATAATCCTCTACCTAGAGCAGGAAGTTCAAGAGACCAGACAGGTGAGATTTTATTGGGTTGTTTCTTGTTTTGTTTGTTTTTGTTTTAATGGTGAGGAGCTACAGGTAACACCACGAAAAAGAGCTCTTCCCAGCATCAGCTACATGTTTGAATGGATGGCAATTGAAAGAACAAACGTTTAAGTCACCAAGATGGGTGTCCAGGACGTAGATGGAGGGTCCAACTTATATTCCTCTTGTCTGAAAGATGCTGAAGCAAAACAAGAACCCACAATTTGGGTATTAGTATAATTCGTGTGCGCATGTCCCTTCCTGGACTGTTCCCAAGATTCTGTCAAGACTGAGTGGTTCAGTTTCTTTTAAGTAAAATGAAGCAACCTATTCCTTTCATACACAATGTGTCAACTTCAGAAACTGTGGTCTCCTTTATAAACTATACCAATACCTTCTAACAGCTCTTTCAACAAGTGCTGATGCTGTCTTTGAAAAACCAATGCCTGCCCCCTAAAATGAGCACCCTGTTCACTCCGAATGTTCACATGCATGCAACCATGGACACTCTTGAAACCTCCAACATCTTAAACACCACAACCAAGCTTCAAATTCCACATTTCTTTCATCCTCAATGATTCCAAATCACAATTAAAAAATTAAAAAGCCTAGCTCTTTACTTTCAATCAATATAATCCCCCAAGAATCCAAGCATCAAAACATTCACATAAAATAATAGCTTTCTATATTTAAAAGAGATAAACTGAACCAGCAAGGTGATCAATCAATCTTCAGTTACATTTGGCATCTAGAGAAGATGATGGGGCACGTATTTACAATTGACCAAATGAGGGGGCTTCACACTTTAAGGATTTCACAACTTCCTCTGTATGTAAATTAGGACCAGTATTCACTAATAAAAGCAGTACTTTTTCCTTTAATAACAATTCACCTAGATATTCCGCACTGTTCTAATTTAAAAAGAACACATACAGGGGCGCCTGGGTGGCTCAGTCGGTTAAGCGACTGCCTTCGGCTCAGGTCATGATCTGGAGTCCCGGGATCGAGTCCCGCATCGGGCTCCCTGCTCGGCAGGGAGTCTGCTTCTCC